AATGCGCACTTTCATCTGGTTTGGTCTGCCGCGGTTTCCGTAGCGTCGTGATCGCGCTTTTAGGAAATCCTATACACTACTGTTGATGAAGGAGAGCACATACAGTTAGTCACAGTCAGAGAAACAGACGATAATGCTTTAGAAATGTAAATCTATCTATCTATATCTATAATCACCTAAACTGGAGGTCTTCAACAGAGGTACTGTATGGGGGTCGCAAAAGTTTTGGTTAGTTTTTTTTTTTATTCCCCCCTGCAGTTTTTTCCACTAATTGAAATGTCTTTAAATCCACATTAACATGAATTCAACACGCTGTAGTAAACAGATAAATGGAGGGAAGCTTTCAAGCTGGGCACCGTTTCATTCACAACACCTGTCCCATCAACCAGGAACTTTAATAATCCCAGGGAGGGATTACTTTAGTTACATTACTCCATCTGTAATAGAGAGACTACAGGACCAGTTTGATAAAACACTATTTCATACAATATATATAAACATGTAAACAATGGAAAGAACAGAAATGCTCCATTGTTGCATTTATGTTATATGCATAAAAACGTACAAATGTTACATTAACATTCTTCATCACCATTATCTTTATTCGTAGAGTGCTTTAAAACAGCTACAGTTGAAAACAAAGTGCTGAACATAGCTAAAAAGAATAAACTACAGCATAAATATATAAAATAAGGTAATAATAAGAATTTTTTTAAGCTAGATAAACAACATCACAGCAACTAAATCCTGCTAGTGTTAAAAGCCAGTAAATAAAAGTGTTGAGTCTTGAGCCGTGTTTTAAAATTGGGCATTGAAGGAGCCTGTTCCATAAATAAGGAGCAGCCATAGCATAGAGAAGGCTCATAAAAGTTATCAATAAATAAGGAATAAACACCTCGGTACAAACACCATATTTGCAGTACATGACAAAGTTTTCAAATCCCTTTTAAACAGAACTCTACTGCATTTGCATGATATTCTTCTGATCAGTACTACACTGTATAAATGGAAAAGTTAATTTCACTGTTGAAAAGCTGTGTGCATTGAAATTTAGTTTTGTATACACTCTGGGCCGGATCTATCAAAGGTTTGCGT